GCAAGGTATCATCATTAGTATCATCTTCACTCCCAATTTCATGCAGTGTTCAGCCCATTCATAAAAATCCATGAAATCCAAGAACACTTTGGCAACAGACTTTTAATTACACATCTGTTCTGTCACCAGGTACGATTCTCTGTGAGCCAGCATGAGGTTTGGCTGGATCCTTATCACAAATTGTATCAGATCCAGTAAGGAACTGGTGTAGATTCTGCTATGTAATATCTTCAATTTGCCTTAAATCCTATTCATGGAAACACATGACAGTTAAAACACAGAAGGAGATCATTCAGCCCATCATGTCTGTGCCAGGTCTCCAAATTAGCATCGCACCAGCCTTCTTCTTGCAATCCTGCACATTTTTCCTTTCAGATATCTGTCAAATTCCTTTCTGAATGCCTCAATTGAAACTGTCTCCACCACACTCTCAGGCAATTTCCTCAAATCTCTGCACTCTTGTTCACAATGCTTTCAGTGAGAATGCTTTCTCCTTGTTTACTCTGCCCAGTCCTTTCTTGATTCTGAATACTTCAATCAGATCTCCTCTCAGCCTTTGTTCCCTTCTCCAAGGGACGAAGTCCTAATGTCTCCAATCTATCTGCAATTTCTCGCCTAGGGATCATTCTTGTAAATATCTTCTGCACTCTACAAAATCCTAAAAAGTGCCATTCCCAGAGCTGGACACAACACTCCAGGTGATGACTAACCAATGTCTTACACAAGTCCAACATAAGCTTCTTGTTCTTACAGACAAGTCCCTGTTAATAATTCCTGGAATACTGTAGGTTTTACTAACCACTCTCTCAACCTGTTCTTCTACCTTTAATAACTTTTGCATATAAACACCTTCTGCCCCACCACACCCTTAATTTTATGTCGCCTCTCTATGTTCTTCATACTTTCTATGCTGTCATTCTTACAATTCACAATGCTTCCAAGTATTGTATCATTGGCCAATGTTGAAATTGTGCCCCTGTATATCAAAGTCTAAGCCATTCATGTACAGTAACGAAAGCAATGATCCCAACATTGATCCCTGGGGAATTCTACCATAAACAATGCTCCAGCTGAAATGATAATCATTAATCATTACTTGCTTCATCCTGTCACTTAGTTCTGTATCCACGTTGATATTATTGATTGAAAGGATATGATCTCTCTTCAAGCTGAGGCACATGGAGGGTTCACAGAAACATAGGATTCAAGAGCTAGGTTGGGTCAGCCGGCTCTTCTAACCTGGTCTGCCAATCAACAGGATCATGGCAGATCTGCTGTGGTATCAACCCCACACTTCTGACTGACTGCACATATCAACTCCTTTGTCTATCAAAAATCTATCAAACTCAGCCATAAATAAATTCAATAACACAGCCTTCACTACTTTCTGGGGAAGAGGATTCCACAGACTGACAACCCGCCAAACAAAAAAATAATCCCCTCATCTCTGTCTGAAAAGAGAATCCTTTCATTGTTAATTGCTGTTCCCTTATTTTGGATTTCCCCCACAAAGGAAAATATTCTTGAGGTTCCCTGATCACATTGTGGTTGAGTAACCGTATTGTATAACCTTATTTTCTTGACAGAAGCAACAGAAAGCATGGCCTACACGTGTGCTATCCCAACAGGAAGTTCTGTATCCTGGGAAACTTACCATTTCTCCTGCCACTGCTCCACCTGCTGGCTGTGCTTAACACAACATGGTTGGATTCTGCGCCCCAAAATTCCATAGGGATTCCTGCAGTCTCACATAGAAACAGAGGTGTCTCAATGACATATTATGTCTACTGTTCCTAGGAGTCAACTGGTTCTAATATAAGAAGAACTTCTACCTATCACATTGATGGAGAGTTCCCAAAAGGTGGCGATTTTGATCTTGAGGATGATCAAGGTGCTGATACAGTACTTCTGTAAAGTCTCCATCCAGCTGCTGAAGGGTCTCTCCAGTAGGATCCACATTTTCAAAGTTGCCTTCAGAAGAATCTGGTCGAATAGCAGCAAGGCCAGAGGTACCAGTGCAATTCCACTCATGATCGGCCAGACTTGTGTTGGTAGGAAGGCAACCATATTGCATCAGGGCAGGCACCTCACTGGTTAGTCGAGGATTTGATTTGATATTACTTTGTTTATTACTGTCATGTGTACTGAGATACAGTGAAAAATGTTGTCTTACATGCTTTACAATCAGCTTGCACTATGGAAGTGCATCAGGATAACAGAATGCAGGGTATAATGTTACAGCTCTAGAGAGAGATCAACACTGACATTTAAGAGGACCATTCAGAAGTCTGATAACACAGCAAGGAAGAAGCTAGTGCTGAATCTGTTTGTAAGTGTATTCAAACTTTTATATCTTCTGCTTGACGGAAGAGGGTGGAAGAAAGTATAACTGAGGTGGGAAGGGCCTTTGGTTATATTGGTTGCTTTCCCGAGGCAGCGGGAAGCATAGATGGAGTCCAAGCATGGAAGGCTGGTTTGCATAATGGACTGGGCTGAGTTCATAACTCTCTAGTTACTTGTGGTCTTGGGAAGAGAAGTTGCCATACCACACTGTGATGCATCCAGATAGGATCTATAAAAATTTGTAATGTCTTTATGGACATACCAAATTTCCTTAGCCTCCTGAGGTAACATTTAAGGAGAGTTTTACAACGGAGGGGTAAAGCGACAGGGAGAATATTCCAAACTTAATGCAATGAGAATCTATACCACATTTCATTCTCATTAATGATCAGAAGAATATTTGGTCCATGGGATACACCTGCACTTGTACTTGCATCCCTGGTATTCAACATTCCCTATAGTTATGGGTAAATTACAAATTTCATAAATCTGTTTTTATTCTTTAATAGATTGCTTACTGTATTAGGACTCAAAACAAACTCCCAATCGAAACTTACATGAGATTGGATTTAGATAGTGCCTTTCATGTCCTCAGGTTGTCCTACAATACTTTACATCCACTGAAATAGTTTTGAATTCTAGTCACTATCATAATGTGTTGTAATCACTTCCATTAAAATTGAGTATTGTGTCCTAAATTGTCATGCCATCAGGTGTGTTAAGCAAATTGTAAAAGAGGTTCATTGAGATCCTTGTGGTTTGGTTCATTGGACACAGACAGGGCAGATAACATAAAATCTACATACCCATAACATCTATCATCTGTTAACTACCAGGAGCTGTAACTTGTGTTGAAAGTATTGAATTTCATCCAAATTGAACAAAATTAGTTTAATGGTGGCGACGACCTGCGATTGAGCTTTTTCCAGAGCTGGCTTCATAGTTGCAAATTTAGTCAAGATAAATTAAGATTATTTTCCCTGCATGTTGTAGACAGACTACTATCAAATCAGTCCAATGAGAGAGAACCATTCTCACTCACAATACGACTGCTCACTATCTGTACAATGGTGCCTTTATCTTTTAGATCAAAGAAATGCTGATTTTGCTCTGAGCTGGAGACCACACTGGGCTTAGATTCCCACTCCTTTGATGTCCTAATTAGCCTAATGACTTATAGACAGCTTCCAGCAGCCTGAAATAAAGTTCATTTTAGCTCCGAGTACACAAGTACTTCAACATTTTTGATTTTCGTCCAAATGTAATTTTACCAAAAAAGCAATCGCATTAATCCTGGTATAAAGGTTGACTTTAAAAGAGCGATGAACTAGTAAAATGAATAAATTTACTTAATGCATTTCTACTTGCTACCTTGAAGAGAAAACGGAACATTAACTAACCTGATAACTGAACGGAAATGAAGTACATTTTTTTAAAATTGAGCATAGTGTAAAAAATTTTACTCTGTCCAATTTTTAAACACCCTACCAAATTGGCACTGGGTGCAAGGTAGAGTTTTGAAAAAGAATTGCCTGTAGCATGGTCTTGTTTGAGAAATTGCAGAGTGTAATGACTCTCTCCTTCACAACTTCAATTTTTCTGCTTGGTACAGAAAGTCTTTATCATAAAAAAACTTGACTATTTTACTACATACATCCAAAGATGTTGTGATCTGGTTTCTTGTGATTTCAATTCCAAAAAAAGGCATATACAGAACGTAACTTTATTTTCTACTGGGAGCAAATTGCGCCACCATCAAGTTTCATGTCCAGGAACTTCTCACTAAAAATACTTAGGAATGTTATGCACAATGCCAAACAAAATAACACAAAGGAAAGTACAAAGATTCACCAGCCATTTAGATCTTCGGTTGAAACACTGGACCATCGAAAAGTATTTTAATACATACTTTTGTGGCATGACTTTTTGTCAGTTAGCTGAAGGCAATAACTTGCAGTTGGGCAGCATCAAAGTGAATTCTTCTTTCTCGGGAGTCTCTTGGGATCAGAGATGACTTGCTTCTGTTCCAGTTTGTTGTGTTTGGAGGTGGCTCATAGATCCAACTTGCATAATCAGCTTGAATGCGTGTAGCTCCAACAACACTCAAAAAGCTTGATACCATCCAGGACAAAATAGCTGCCTTGATTAGAGCCACATCTACAAGCATCTACTGCCTCCACCATGGACGCTGAGTAGCAACAGTGTTTGCCATCTACAAGATGCATGGCAGAAATTCACCAAAGCCCCTTAGACAGCACCTTCCAAATCCATGATCACTTCCAACTAGAAGGATAAGGGAAACAGATACATGGGAACACCAAGATCCCCTCCAAGCCACTCACCATCCTGACTTGGAGATATGTCACTGTTCCTTCAGTGTTGCTGGGTCAAAACATTGGAATTCCCTCTCTAATGACATTGTGGGTCAACCTACAGCCCATGGACTGCAGCGGTTCAAACAGGCAGCTCACCACCACCTTCTCAAGGCCAACTTGGGGCAGACAATAAATGTTGACCCAGCCATCAATGTTCACATCCCACAAGCAAATTAAAAAAATATACATATAGCTAAAAGCAAGTACCTCATGCACCTATAGATTTAAAAATATGTCCTATAGTTAACGCCAACTGCTCTTTATTCCCAAAGTAATACTTACGACAGCCTTCTTCATCTGAACCATCTTTACAATCTGTGTCTCCATCACAATACCAGTGTTCTGCAATGCAACTACCATCATTGCAACGAAATTCTTTGTCGGAACATTTTCTCATGTCTGTAACAGGAAAGCAAAAAGGCAGCAAAAAAATAAAAATGCATCAGCAATGCTGAAGAACAATTGGTCAATACACAAAGAATCAAACAATTGATTGCTCTTACCAATTCCATTAGGCAAAGACGTGGTCATGATTTAAACTTAGGCTTTCTGCAGCAGAAGCTTGACATTATGCTCTGTTCAAGAAGTGGTTGACCAGAAATAGAGTTGAACTCACCACACTGTTCATCACTGTTGTCTCCACAGTCATTGTCCCCATCACAATGCCACAGACTGCGTATACAGTAACCATTCTGGCAGTGAAATTCATCTTCCTCACACTCACGAGGTGCTGGAATACAAAACAAAAGCAGAGCTGAATTACTAGGACCGCAACTGCTGCAGAATTAACCATTTTCCTTGGAGGTTATTGCAATTCTTTCACACTATTTCATATTTCAGTCTTTGCTAGGTAGCATTCTGCTCTGCTGAGAATCATTACGTTACAAATTTTTCATCTGTGTACATAAAATTAGGCATCCTGTTACATCATTATCACTCTTCTGACCTCACCGTGTTGCAAATTCTTGTATCCAAATTTTAAAATTTCTTTTATAAACAGACTATTCTGACACTGGCAACCAGATTCCAATTCAAATGTCTGAGCTGCTTTGTAAAAGTTGAAGTAATGGCCTATTTCACACTGACCTGTTTAATAGAGCCACAAGTTGTCTTTGGTGACTGTTAATTAAACTCTCGGCCTCTCTGAAGAAGTTTTTAGGCCTTGTAGTTCTGTTCAGATATGTCTCTCGTGTTGTATTTGGATTGCACAGTCTGAGCATGGGCAATGTACTTGAATTCTCAGTGTATCAAGTTGCCTGACAATCAGGTTGTACTAAAGGAATATTTTTCTTTTGCAGTTTCTGCTCAAACATTTTCAAAAACTCATTTGGAGAACAGCTGGAAGAAAATTTTTGAAAGCTTTCTCCAGGTCAAATTTAAATTCAGTATTTCTTTTGTATAGCTCTGCTCATGGGGATGTGTGAGAGAGAAGAAAATGCAGCTTCTTATTTATTTGTAGTATGATTTTCCATGTTGTATAAAGCAGCAAGAATGGAACATTTCTAACTGTTAAGAGCTGCCAGACAGAGACGGGTGAGAAAGTACTTTTCCCTCAATAAATTTGTATCTCAAATAAAAAGTAATTGAGTTGAACTTTGAGAGCTCCAGTTGGCATCAGTATTTTCTTTGATGTCAATGTTTTCTTTTAGCTATGAGAAGCCAAGGTGGAGGCAAAATGGACCGACACACTCAGACATCAACACAACACATCACAATCGATGTTTACAGATATCCCTTAGATCGGCACAATCTCAAGTATCAAGAAAGGTCAGGCCCCTGACTTGCTCTTGCCCTTCACTACTGACACACAAATGCAGTGTGACCCAAACTCTGTCTGCAATGTTGCACTTGTATGACCCTTAGTAAGACAGCACCTGGAGTACTGGCTACAGTTTTAGTGTCCTCATCGAAGGAAGGATGTCCTTTTCATAGAGGGAGGACAGCAGGCATTCACCTGACTAATTCTCAAGATGTCAGGATTGCCTTAGGAGGGAACTCTGAAGAAACTAAGCCTATATTCCGAGAGTTTCAAAGAATGACAGATGATCTCCTTGAAACTTTTACAGAGCATGGCAAGGTAGATGTGAGGAGGATGTTTTCCCTGGTTGATAAATCTAGAACCAGGGGACATAGTATCAGAACAAAGGGCAGACCATTTAAGACTGGGATGAGGAGAAACTTCTTGACTCAGGCTAGTGCATCATTGGAATTCTCCACCCCAAAAGAAGCTCAATCATTATGCACGTTCAAATCAGAGATTGATACGATTTCTGGATACTAACAACATCGAGGGATGGTGGGTGGGGGTGGGGAATGGTATACGGGTAGATAGTCAATCAATGGGGTTAATGATTCACTTCTATTCCCTACATTCCTATCGGCCAGTTGTGCCATACCCCAGTCCCATCTCTCACAGTTCTATCAAACGGCAGATTCTCGCTTCACGATGATAGCTCAGAGCTGCTGCCCCATTTGTATCAAGCCCCAGGGATACTCCCAATGTTACATGTGACCTGTGTAATCTCCACGTGCTACAACAGGGTGAGACTGCCCCTGACCCCAGCATAGCTAGACCCATTTCCACTCCCAGTCCTGCTAAATTTCAGTTATCTGCCTCCAACTGACTTAAATTGTACATCAGGAACAAAAACAAAGTTGCTGGAAAAGCTCAGCAGGTCTGGCAGCATCTGTGAAGGAGAAAACGGAGTTAACATTTCGGGTCCGGTGACCCTTCCTCAGAACTGATGGTAGCTGGGAAACGTCAGTTTATATGCAGAAAATAGAAAGGTGGGTGGGGTAGGGAGTAAACGAAAGGACAGAGCCCAAAGAGAGAGAAAGAGAGTTGGACAGACAAAGATGTTGCTAACGATCAGGCTGGGAGGGTGAATAGTTGTTAATGGGGACTGTTAGTGACTAACAACAGTGGGTGTGTAATGGCAGGCTATGTGGTAACAAGGCCTGGTGTGTGGGGTGGGGGGCTGGGACATGGGAGAGTTTAGGCCCTAAAATTATTGAACTCAATATTGAGTCCAAAGGGCTGTAGGGTCCCCAAGTTGGGGGTGAAGGAAGTGTGGACCAGGGTGTCCCAGAGGGAACGGTCCCTGTGGAAGGCGGACCAGGGAGGGGAGGGGAGGGGAATGTGTGTCTGGTGGCGGCATCTTGCTGGAGGTGGCAGAAATGGCGTCTGATGATCTTCTGGATGTGGATGCTGGTGGGATAGTAGGTGAGGACAAGGGGACCCCTATCACTGTTGTGGGAGGGAAGAGAAAGGGTGAGGGCAGAAGTGCGGGAGATGGGTCGGACCTGTCTGAGGGTCCTGTTGACAATGGAGCTGGGGAATCTTCGGTTGAGGAAGAAGGTGGACATTTCGGAGGCTCCCTTGTCGAAGTTGGCCTCATCTGCACATATGCGACAGAGACAGAGAGAATGGGATAGAGTCTTTACAGGACCTTTACAGGACCCCCAACACCTCCCCACAGCCCTACGGCACCTTCCCCTGTAACCAGCGAAGGTGCAATACCTGCCCATTTACCTCCTCCCTCTCCAGTATCCAAGGGCCCAAACATACCTTCCAGGTGAAGCAACACTTCACCTGCACTTCCACGAATCTAGTCTACTGCATTCGCTGCTCACAATGTGGTCTCCTCTACACTGGGGAAATGAAGCGTAGACTTGGCAACTGCTTCGCAGAACATCTACGTTCTGCTCGCAAAAAAGACCATGAACTACCTGTTGCCTGCCACTTCAACGCACCACCCTGCTCCCTGGCCAACATCTCTGTCTCAGGCTTGCTGCAGTGTTCCAGTGAAGCCCAACGCAAGCTGGAGGAACAACACCTCATTTTCCGCTTGGGGACCCTACAGCCCTTTGGACTCAATATTGAGTTCAATAATTTTAGGGCCTAAACTCTCCCATGTCCCAGCCCCCCACCCCACACACCAGGCCTTGTTACCACATAGCCTGCCATTACACACCCCCTGTTGTTAGTCACTAACAGTCCCCATTAAAAACTATTTACCCTCCCAGCCTGATCGTTAGCAACTCCTTTGTCTGTCCAACTGTCTTTCTCTCTCTTTGGGTTCTATCCTATCGTTTACTCCCTACCCCACCCACCTCCCTATTTTCTGCATATAAACTGATGATTTCCCAGCTACCAACAGTTCTGAGGAAGGGTCACCGGACCCGAAACGTTAACTCCGTTTTCTCCTTCACGGATGCTGCCAGACCTGCTGAGCTTTTCCAGCAACTTTGTTTTTGTTCCTGATTTACAGCATCCGCAGTTCTTTTAGTTTTTACATCTTGTACATTCCCTTGAAGCTTTAAATATGCCACTGGTTAGAAAATCAGAGAATGGTAACAGTATTGTGTGTGTAAAAAGCTAGAACTCATTAATTTACAATTTTCATTGAATGATGGACAGGATTGAGAAATTCAATACCCAAAGCACCAGCAAAATCACAGGACAGATTTAAATAAGAATGGAATTTGCACTCTTCACCATCAACTTTATCATCTTCTAAATCAGTGGCCCTAATAATGGGCCCTTTTATTGCCTAATTAACCCAATTATTGTAAAAATCTAAATTCCCTGACACAAATGAGCAACGTAACAAGTGGTCCATTCATCTTTTTAAAATTGGTTTACGGGATATGGGCACTCACCATCCAGACTTTGAAATAAAAACAGAAAGTGCTGGAGAAACTCGACAGGTCTGGCAGCACATGCGGAGAGTAAAACAGAGTTAACATTATGACTCTTCTTCGGAACAGATATTGATCTTCCTTCAGTGTCACCAGGACAAAATCCCTCCCAAACAGCATTGTGGGTGAACCTCCTGACCAGAGTGGTACCAGAAGACAACTCACAACCATCTTCTCAAGGATAATTAGCGGTGGATAATAAGTTCTGCCCAGCCAGCAAAGCCTACAATCCCTGATTTTAAAAAAACGGTGGTGGGTTGGACAGTACTGACAAATAAACCTTGATGGGTTGCTGCTTCTTCCTGAGGAAGGTATACATTGCTGCCACTGTGCATCGGAGGTGGAGGGAGTGAATGGTGTAGGTAATGGATGGGGTTTCAATCAAGTAGACTGCTTTTGAATGGTATCAAGCTTCTGGAATGTTGTTGGAGCTGCACCCATCCAGGCAAGTGGGGAGTATTCCATTACACTCCTGACTTGTTCCTTGTAGACCATGGACATGATTTAGGGAGTCAGAAGGTCAGCTGCTCACTGCAGAATTTGTGGATTCTGTCCTCCTCTTGTAGTCATAGTAATTGTGGCTAACTGAGTTAATTTTCTGATCAATGGTAATCTGCAGCGTGTTGATAGTAATGGATTTATTGATTTGTAATGCCACTAGATATCAAGGAAAGACTGCTAGACTCTTTCTTGTTGGTGATTGCCATTGTCTGGCACAGACATTGCATGAATCTTATTTGTCACTTGTCAGGCAGACCCTAATCATTATTACCCAAATCTTGCTGCACATCAGCTAAAGAGTAGTGACTGCAAATGAATACTGTGCAATCATCAGTAAATATCCCCATTTCTGACCAGTCGAGACTCTCCTATCCCCCGTTCCCACTGACTTCCACTCTGCTAGGGATCCTTGCTGTATGGTCAAATGCTGACTCTCACCTCACCTCTGGAACTCAGTGCTTTTGCCCATGTTTGGACTGAGCCTGAAAGTAAGTTCAGAGCAGTGTGAACTGGAATAGAAGCCAAAGT